TCTCTCTCTCTCTCTCTCTCTCTCTCTCTCTCTCATATGCGATATGCGAGGCTTGGTCCTTGTTGATTTTTTCTAAACCTGGGCGCCGTGACGTACTATATCTAGATTATTAAATAGCAATTATACAGCGTTCTTTCTACAACTAGATCTACAAACAAATGTATTGTTAGAAAAAGGCTTTTTTTTTAATCCTTTATTTCTTAATGAGCACTTTATCTACGAGGTCGTTTATTTCTTATTGACTGAGTCAAAGCGTATAGGGCCTTTAGAACTTTTTAAAAGAAAAATGAAAAGATGTGGGTGTCGTGGTAACCTCCAAACCACCCCACCCTCTCTCTTCTCCAGAATCCCAATACCAACCACACCCTCCCCCCCCTCAAATATGATAATATGAGTTTGGCATTAAATGAAATCAAGATGAGCCATAGAAAAAAATTCCAGAGTTTTTCTGCCATTAGGTGTAAGAAGGCAATGAAGCTCTTGAGAAAAAGCAAATTCAACCGAACAATAAATGATGAATACATGTACTAGTATTTAAAAAATCGAGTTAAACTTTCCCTTGTGACATTTGAACAGGAAACTGTATTTTTCATTCTAATGTTCACTTATTTTTTTAAAGTATACCAAATGAGTAGTGTTTTCTTATCTGGGCGGTATTTATTTTTGGTTCATATTGATTTTAAGAACTAAAGTAGACCATTTACAGCGCTTAAACTAAAGCTCCTTCTATTGCTGTTTTAGGTAAGTCTAATTTCGGAAATTAGTAAAACAACTGTGACAACTCTGGACTCACTAAAGATTAAAAAAGAGTGAACTTAATGTTGATTTTTAGCCTGGTCTATTGCTTTTCTACACAGTGTAGTGATAACTGAAACAAAAACCTTTACTGAAATGTTTTTGGATAACATTCAATTAGACTTACTGCATGATCCCTCCCTAAACTAATCTGCATTACTGGTGCAGGAAAAGAACGTGTTTGTTTATCTTGTGACGAACAGGACCAGTGTTATGTTGAGTATGTCTCTGGGTGAACAGTTTCCCGTGATGATGCAGCACCGTGTGACAGAAGATGGCACAGGCCTCTTTCAGTATCTACGACGGATAATCATCTTCACTGTCCAGGTGGCCGTCAACCTGGTGACCCCTTAGTCCGCTGAAGACTGTAGATGACAGTGCAGTAGATACCTCCAATGTCACCCACAAAATTGTGGACCCAGAGAAACATCCTAAGGACCCCCCCCCCCCCTCCTTCTCAATAACAATATTTGAAATATATCCTCACTGGCGTACAAGAGTCCACCACTGTCTTTCCTGCTTGTCAAACGTGCAGCCAGGGGTAATGAGTCTGCTGTTCTATCTTTTTCACTAGTAATGATCTGCACACGACGCACTTACATTTCTTTGCTAGTCTTTTTGTAATGAAGCCATTGATGTGAGATAAGACATCTAGGTGGTAATAACGGGGGGGTCTGCAAAATTTTGATGAAACATTTATACAGTGGGTCACTCGTGTCACAGTCTGCAAGACCATCTGGAGAGACGAGTGTATCAGTCGAATCGTGCAGGCTGTTTTCTGGAGCGGGAAAACCAGCACAGTCCTCTTGTTTCAAAGGGAGAATGCCATTATTCTGCAGCAGCGCCCTCAGAGCATACTGAACTGAAGGACATTGGGATTGTTGTTCCATTCCCCGCGACGGCGAATTCGACTGAACAAGGTCTCCAGATGGTCTTGTGACAGGCGATAAGAAAGAACGTACTTGTAGCCGGCCCGGAGAAGTTTTTCTGCGATGCTTTCTAAGGACGGGAGAGTTGCAATGAAACCAATAAATCCTGTCTTGCATCGGCCTTGCAAAAAGGGTTTCTTGGCTGTGTCTGTGAGTGATTGAATGTAGTGTATGGCTTCCTGTATGAAAATGTTCTTTGTTTCAATGTTCTGTGGTGTTATGGGACAAAACATTAAAAAAGCATACTCTTTGATAAAGAAACTAACTTCCCTTTGTGAAAAAGATTTAGCTGCTAGTCAACCTTAACTTCACATGGCCCAAAAACTTATGGCTCTATATATTTTTTTAAAAACCCGGAGTGACTATCTGTGTCTTTAAGGCGTATTATGAGCTAAAAATAGATCATGTAATAAAAGAAAACAGATATCTCTAATTTTCATGACTGAAACAGTGATGAGTTGTTTAAATTCATTCCTGCATTAGATAATGTGTCAGACACTTATTATATGCTGTGCATATAGCAAGTTCAGCGCCAAACACACTCTGAGTATGGTTTCCTTTGTATGATTTCCTCTAATAAGCTTAAATGTCTATATCCTATACCTTACATCATTCATTTCGACACGAGCCTATCTTTGGCTGCTCCCATCCCTTATCATCCGATAAAAATAATTATGATTGATGATACTGTTATATTACTATGTCATTTATATATATATAGTCAGTGAGTCACGTGTCGCTCATGTCAAATTGTGAACTTCACCCAGTTATTATATGTTATTTATTTATCTAATTATTTTTTTATCTATTTTATTTTATTTTATTTCATTTTTTAATTATTATTTTTTAAATTATTTTTTTTATTTTAATTTTTGTTGTTGTTTTGTTGGGTTTTTTTTTGGGGGGGGGGAACAGTCACCGTGTATCACTGTGTTTCCCAAGGGGAATACGCTAAGATTAAAGTATACATCCCCCTAAAAAAGTACACAAAAAAATGTCTTCGCCCATTACGACAACCACAGTCCCTTGCTCCTCAAAGACAAATCTGCGACCTCACTGTGACCACCGCAGAGACCTCTGTTACTGTGTTTACCAAGAAAAAGTATATCACACCCTTCCCCCACCCCCTTCTGCAATGTCTTCACCCAGTATGACAATATCACAGCAGTTTGTTTTCCGTTCCTTAGAGACAAATCTGTGATGACACAGTGAACCCAACGGTGACGTCATAGTATTACGCTACTCCCTTATATTATGCTGTTTTCCACCTTCTCAGTTAGATTCCCAGGCAAGGCAAGGCAACTGGTCGGAGGAGCGTTTCTTCCAGTCCTTCTGCGAGTATGACTTTTTCTTATTCTATTTTGTGTGTGTGTGTGTGTGTGTAATTTGGTAAGTGTTTTACGACGCTCGCAAATGCACAAGGTCATGTCAGCGCGCGGGACACATTAAACATTTTTAGTAGGAAGGAATTTTCGAATTTTGCTCGGGTGGCAGCCGAAGCCTACTCTTATCGATTTTGGACCACCACGGGATCTGTAACGAGCACAACGTGCACACGGGCCCTCCGAGATTTACCGCCCTTGTCCGAGAAGGCTAGGTGTAGATCTTTCCTACCAGAAGATCAGGGGTGTGGCTGAAAGACAGCAGTAAGACGTAGCCAAGGATAAGCATTGGAAACGCTGCAGAAAGAGTCAGGAGCACAGAGGAGAAGACAAAGGGGGTGGGGAGGGGGGCAGAAAGTGGAGACGAAAGTAGACGACAGAATATTGTTAGGGAGCCGGAAAGAAGGTGAAAGGAGACAATTTT